AAATTACTTTGAAAATCAATGTCAAAATAAATTGTACTCAAAGTACAAATAAAAATCAAAGTTATAGTCAGAATCAGAGTCAAAATAAAATCGAAGAGCAATGTCGCATCCCAGAGTAAAAAAATTTTAATAAAATTTCTCAACCCTAAAAAAATGTTAAATTTCCAATTTGTTAAATGTTTCAGCCAATAATATATTTATTTTCCCCCACAAAGAATATTAAGAAAAGAAATCGAAAAACTCGGAGTGTGTATACCAGACGTGCTGGGATCCTTAAAAAAACACTCTCCATCCTATTTGCTTATACACACGAGCCCGGTCACCGAGAACATTTTCGGGTGATCCATCATTAAAAGATCGACACGAAATTTTTCAAGTGGCATCTCTTTCCAGAAAATACAGAAAAGAATTGATTTTTTTATTTACCATTATGAAACTACCGTCTTAACACGTAGGGTAATGGATCGCTCTTGAAAAAATTATCATGACTTTTTAAATGATTCTTCAAACCGAAAATAGCTGAAAGTGTAAACATGAAGTTTAACTTTGATATTTTAACAAATTGTTATACACCTCATTTTAATATTGTTTTTTTTAAATAATCATCTTTTTTTAGAGAGATTATAATTTAAACGACACTCACAAAAAGAAAATTGCAAGTGGAATAAGGTCGAACATAAAGCCTCATTCATGAAAGTGGTAATAATGATGTGTCAGAGAGATTAAAGAGATTGGAACATAATCGTTTATATCCAACGAGCGACTAATCGGAAGATAACCAAAGTCCTATTATGTATTAAAAATCTATTGCCGCAAAATCGGTTGATCTCAACTCGGTTTACAATGATAAATTGTAATTTCTGACTAAATAATTTTTCTGGAAATTGTAATTCTAAAACTAATTTTATTTATTAAATATTATATTTAATGATTTCTTTTTGTGTTATGTACGATTTTTGCTCTGAACGAAAATTCTTTAACAGCATTAAGTTTTGTATTTTAAATTTCAAAGATAGGCGTTTTATCGGAAAAAGAGAATTATTCTTATCATAAATTATAAGGAACAAAGAACGGAAATGAAATCCAAGAAATCCTTAAGAAAATATTTTTTGATAGTAATTATTCAGCAATAATGATATATCTTTCTTGGTCATACGATAAAGTTTAAGTGATGGTACGACCAAGTAAATGATGCATTACAGTTGTGCATTCTTTTAAGACGTTAATATACTGTCTTTAAAAAATTATGTTTAATTAATCACGTTTTAATTCATTTAAAATCATTTAAAATCTCAAGTTTGTACACAAAACATTTATGACTTGCTTTATGATCATAAATACCCACAGATTTCATGAAAGTATCAAATTGATACTAAACTTATAAAACAATATAATATTTATAATAATATTTTTATAAGTTGTTAAATTTCAGATTATCTAATAATTTTTAGAGTGAATCAGAATATTCTTTAGGGTCAGGATAAAAAGTCAAAATTTTATCTGGAAATTAGGGAAAACAAAATTACATTTTTGTGGCAATGACCCAGTGATAAAATTATTACTTTACATTATAAGAATATTGTACTTCTTCAAAATTATTTTCATTGTTTCAATTAAATTATTATTTTCAAGAATTTTTAACTAAAATTCTTCTTTCAATCAATTATTTTTAATAATTTTCGAAAAAGTTCTTTGATAATTTTCGAATCCATTTGTTTAAAATTCAATTTTACAAAATTTCGATTATTCGTAAATTCTTCAATTAAATTAATATTAAAAAATAAAAACTTCAAATAATTTATTTTAAAAATCCGGAATTAAATTTTTTCAAAAAAATTAATTTCAAAATTCAATTATTTCTTAAAATTCACACTATATTGCTTTTAATAATTATCTAAAATTTTAACTGAAATTCATATTCAAATCAATTTTAAATTTAAAAATTCTACGGGAATTCAATTATTATTATTTAAATACAAATAAATAATTTATTGAACAATTGAATGTTTCTTAAAATTCAATTCTCATAAAGAATTTTATCAACAAATTTTTTAAATAATTATATTCTTTGGGCGAATTATTGTAATGAAATTTTAAAGAATTTTTCATCATTTTTCGACAAATTCGATTAAAATTGTATTAAAAATAATTGAAATTCTGCGATGAGTTTTATTATTTATGAAAAATAATTGAATTCTTAAAAAGAATTATATTATCTTATGAAAATAATTATATGCCTGCAAAAAATTTTATTATTTATGACAATAATTGAATTTCTCCAAAATTAAATTTTTTTAGTGTTTTTTTAATTGAAATTCTTCTTTAAATTCATTATTTATAATAATTTTTGAAATAGTTCTTTGAAAATTTTCATATTCATTCGCTTTCAAATCAATTATAAAAAATTTTAATTATTCGCATATTTTTCAATTAAATACATATTAAAAAATAAAAACTTCAAAAAAATAATTTCAAGTAAAATAGTAGTAATAATTTATTTGAATAAACTTTTCAGGGTGGCCGCAAGATTGACTTTATCAATTTCCCTGACATTTCCCTGACATTTTACTGACATAACAACGAATTTCCCTGACAAAAATTTTTTTGTTTAGAGCAAAAAATTTATTGCATGACCGTCTTAATTTCTTCAATTGCCCTGACAAAAAAATTTTCCTGACATTTCCCTGACTTTACTGACATGTGGCCACCCTGCTTTTTCAAAAAAATTAATTTTTCTAAAGAATTGTTAGTTAAATTTATGAAAAATTCAAACTTTCAAAGATTTTAATATGAAACATGTTCAAATATTCAATTATTTCTAAAAATTCATTTTTAAATTAACTTTTATTAGAAAAATCTACTAGAATTCAATCAGGTATTTAAATACAAAAATAAATAATTTATTGAATAATTTGAAATCTAATAAAGCATTTTATCAACAAATTTTTAAACGTTTGAATACTTTTGACGAATTTTACTAAAATTTTCAAGAATTTAGCCGAATTTGATTAAATTTGTATAAAAAATAATTGAAAAATTCTGCAATGAGTTTCATTATTTATGAAAATAATTGAATTCCTATAAAAAGAATTTTAGTATATGAAATAATTGAAAATTACGAAAATAATTGAATCTCTGTAAAAATTTTATTATTTATGAAAATAAATGAAATTTAGTAACAAATTTTATTAAAATTTTTAAATAATTGAATTCTTGGGAAATTTCTATTATTTTATGAAAATAATTAAATGTTTGCGTAGAATTTTATCAAATTTTTTTTTTAAATAATAAAATTTTTTTGTGAAATTTTATTAAAATAACAAATATTAAAAATCATTTGAGGAAAATTTTTAAAAATAATTGAAATTTTGCCAAGAATTTTATTAAAATCTTTAAAAATAATTGAATTTTGGAGAAGAATTTTTTATTAATTTTCTAAAGATAATTGAAATTTTGACGAGAATTCTTTTAAATTTTTTAACGAAACTGAATTTTTGCGAAGAATTTTATTACTTTGGAAAATAATTGAATTTCTGCAATTATTTGTATTACAATTATTATTCGTATCCAATTTACCAACTTTTCATCCTTTTTCTATCAAATTACGGACTTTACGGACCATTTTTTAAAAAAAAACCGACATGTTAACGAACTTGAATCAAATTTACGGACCTTTACGGGATTTACGGACCTAGTTCGAGCCCTGTAAAGGAAGAAAACAAAACTTAAAGCAAATGAATTTTTTAAATAAACAAAAGCTTTTTTCTGGACCCAGGACTTAAAATCATATCTATAATTTTTAGGACTAAAATTCAATCAAATATAGTTTTAATATAAACTGTTTTAGCATAATTATAGCAAACTGTAGGGTATTATTTTAACGCCAAAATAAATTGCATATCTGCAACGCTTTAATCCATGTTGGCGTTGAAATAATATCCCACAGTTTTTGTGTGTCAAAAGTGAACTGAAAGTAAAATTCATTTTTTACATTGAAAGCATATTTTTTTTAAATATTGAGAGATTCCGTAGTTTTGTCACACTTTATGCTATTTAATCTTGAATATCTATGTAGATAAGGTCTAATTTAATATCTAAATCATAAGTGTTAACACATTTTTTTAAGTTTTGAATGTTCGGTTTTCTGTTATAATTAGTATAATTAATTAATACTATGATTAATACTAATACTAATAATTTATTTATACTATTTTCCTCCTACTAAGGTATTCTCTTAGTATTAATTTGAAATTCCGAGGAAATTGAAGAAATTTTTAAGAATGTTGCAAACTTAAAAGAACTTTCTTAAAGTAAGATTTTTCTCTTACATTGAATAGAATGAACATTTTTTGATTAACAATCCTCGATTGTAGAAAAAAGAAAGAAAGAAAGAAAGAAGGAAGGAAACAGAGATGAAAATAAAAGACGAAATTATTAAGCGAAGTAATACGAAAATCAGTTGGAAATCTCACTTTGCAAAATTGCGAAACTCTTATCCATAATTTTCCCTTATCTAAATTAATGCCAGTATAATGACAATTGTAATCCTGTCTCATTCGGAAGTCTCTGACTCTGACACGGAATTGTCTTCCCCCCCCCTCTCTCTCTCTCTCTCCCTTTAATCCAGTATTCTCGTTGCTGATAACTGTTTCTAGTCTCTAGCTAGCACAGCTCCAACACCCTCTCACACAGCAACAGAGGACCAAGTGCATTTGATACCTTGCTTATCCACAGTTCACAACAGCTCTCTCTCCATCCCCATTGGTCAGATTCCTGGGGCGGCGCGCGTCGATAGAGAAACAGGGGATATCACCCTTGATTCCCAACTCTTCTTCTCATCTCCCTCTAATCAATATTTCTCCCCGGAATCTCTCTTCCTTTACAGTACGGGATTTCGGTCACTCGAGAGAATTCGCGGGGGCGTGGTTTTCACCGTGTCGGGGGCATCGTGGGGGTGTTTGAGTCGTAGGCGGAGCACAAGCCACGATTTAATCGCAGGCTACGATGTCGAAGGATTTTTGGAACGCACCAACGAACACGCGGTGTCGATGATTTCATTTTGCGACGTGACGTCCAACTAATAGCTCTTGCTTGCACTTGCTTTTCTCGATTACCGATTGATGACGCGAAATTCATCAGTGATTATCTCCAGCAATTATTCGCAATAAGAGAAAGTAAATTTAATTATCCGAAAAAGTGATCGCGTTTCTTTTATTGTATTTACAATTATCTCTTTCTAAATTACTTTTTACTTCTCCTATTTGATCTTTAACTTTTTTTCTCTATCAATTCAAGTTTTTATCAAAGTCGAAAATAAGTGAACAATTTCTAGAAAGAAAATCAGTGCGAGTGATTAATAAAATCGAAAAAATGCGTTAAGGAACATTCCTCAATGGCTGCCATGTACAACGCGCAGATGGTCTCGGAGGAACTTCATCAACACTCGAGACACCTCTACAGCATCCAGCACAGACTCCAAGATCCCAGCTCATCCCCAAGGTCCGAGGAGCCGAAATCACCGAAACTCCGCTCAGAGGATATACATTTCGCAACTCTAGAAGAGAAATCAAGAATTCGATACCCGGAAAATTCGGATTCCCTCACAAAGAGATTCGTCGAGAACCAAACGTTATTCAAAGAAGAACCCCTAACAATGAAGTTCATGGAGGACAGATTTCGTGAACCCGGGTCCTCACCGGGAAGTTCACCCTCGACCCAACAGCACAATGCAGGAAAGACCTCGTTCTGCATCGACGCCCTTCTCGGCAGAGTCACCAGTAAAAATGATCTCGACATGAAATCTCGACCCTACCGAACATCAGAAATAACTCCCGACATTGTCGACGAGAAGGAGAGTAATTCTAGTCTCCAAAATCAGGAGAGTGAAGAGAGAAGAAATTCCCTCGGCAATCCTCTTCTGCCATTCGTGCAGCAGCATATCGTGAGATCAGAGGATGACCTGAGAAACAGAAGACTCCTGAATCCGGATCATCGACAATTACTCATGAGAAATGACTCGTCGTCTCGGGGTCAATTTCGCTCGATTCCGGACTCGGGAAATAGTGGTGGACGATATAGGAACAGAATGGACGATGATGAGGCGTCAGTGGACGTGGATGCGGAGGTCGATCCCTCAAGAACTGGGAGTGCAAGTCCCGGTAGTAATACTAGTCGTAGTCCAACTTCGAGTCCTCCGATTTCCCCGGGATCGGAGGATCCGACTGGAAATGGGATTTTGGGCCACCAGAGTATGGCCAACAATCCGTATGGTGTGGGTGCGGGAGTGGTGAGACAAAATCAGGGACTGTTGATTCATCCTGGAGGGCCTCTCATCCATCCTGGGGGATTGTACTATCATCCGGCTGGCGGGAGCGCGTTTCACTCGATACACAAGGAGGGACAGCCCGTGGGTCATCCTCAGTCCGGCGGCCCTCATCCTCATCATCTTCATCCTCTTCAACTCGAGTGGTTGGCGAGGACCGGTATGCTGTATCCCAGGTTGCCTGCTGATCTTGCTGGTGAGTTTCATTTCTCCACTTTCCTAATGTGTTGTTGTGATTTTTACTCTCGACAATGATTCTACTTCCTTTGACGTCCCCAAAGTTCTGAATTTGTTTTATGAATTTTTTCTGGGGGAAGTTTAATGTTTTTCTTCAAATGTTATTACAATAACAAATTCTATTCTTTTTTTTGTAATTTTGTTACAATAACAAAGTCTATTCTCTCTATTCATGACTATGAAATTTGAGCCACTAATTTGCGATCACAGAAAAAACAAAGTCGGAAACCGTTTACATCTTAAAACCAAAATGATTGAAAAATAGACTATTTTTAAGCTGAAAACTAGATTAAGTCATTTTTATGACTTAAAATAATACTCTCATCAAGGCTAAGACTGAGTTAAAAATGTTTCTAATCTAACCTGCTCTGTAAATTTGAATCAATTAAAAATAACTGATTTAGAAGCAAAAAGTCAGTCACTGATTGTCAGTTAAAACCACGATTTTTAACTGATTCAAATTAAGAGAGTGTTTTAGTCAAAAAGTTATTCTAATGCTTCATAATTTTTCGTAAAAAAAAATTACCGAAAATAATCAGTAGCAGCGGATTTTAAACTAAATCGAATTTAAAAAATGCTAATCAAAATCATAATCATAATTAAATTCTTTCAAGAAATTTAATTAAAAATGCATTGAAAATAATTAGTAACTTCTAAAAAACAAATCATATCAACATTATTTAAAATAATTGAATTCTTTTGAAGAATTTTAATAAATTTTTTAACAATAAATGCATTTTTTCAAGGAATTTATTTAGAATTTTATTAAAAATAATTTAAATTCTGCAATGAGTTTTAATTATCATTTCTAGTGTGTCAATGAGAATGTTTAACAAATACAAAAATATTTCTGAGTAATAAATTAAGGAAAAATTGTAAAAATACAAATTCAATTGTTTCGAAGAAAATTTAAGTTTAATTTAATAAAATTATACTGAAAATAATTTATTTTCTCTAAAAAGTTTATCACATTTTTCAAAAATAAGTGAATTCTATAAATAATTTTTGACAAATTTTTTTAAAAATAAGCAAATTCTATTCAGAAATTTTTTTCAAATTATATTGAAAATATTTGAATTTTTCCGAAGAATTTCAATAAAATTTTTGAAAATAATAAAATTCTTTCAAGAAATTGAACTAAAATTGCATTAAAAATAATTAGTAACTTTAAATAAAGAAATTATGTCAATTTTTTTTAAATAATTGAATTTTTTTTTAAGAAGTTAAATAAAATTTTTAACAATAATTCCATTTTTCGTGGAATTTATTAAAAATTTTATAAAAACTCAATTTCATTAACACTAATTTTACTAATATTACTTACTAATTAATTTTACTAGTTTTACTTAAAAATTTCACTAGTTTAATTAATTTAACTAAATTGCATTTTATTCTAATGCCTCACAATTTTCGTAAAAAAAATTTACCCAAAAGAATTATTATCGGATTTTCAACTAAATCAGATTTAGAAAATCATAATTAAAACCTTTTTCGTTTTCACACTTAAGTTAGTTAAAAATCTGTTACTAATTCTTTTGGATAATTTTTTTTTACTGAAAATTGTGCGGCATTAAAATAAAAAGCAATTTAGTATAAAATTAATAAAATTTGTTAGTTTCTAAGGATATCAAAATGAGACAAAAAACGAGTCAAAAGTGTTGCGAAGCAATATTTTTGCTTCGTTTTTTGTCTCATTTTGATATCCTTAGAAAAATTGTAATTGAAAAAAATTTTTTTTAAATCAACGATTCATTTTATTTTTTCTAATTATAAGGAACAATTCGCTCATCATAATTAAACATTTACGTTAACATAATTACCTCACCATAAAAATGTCATCTAATTAAAAAATTGCATCGAGAGTTTATTCGAAATTATATCCACTTTTATTATAATACGATATTTCTGTGTTTCTGAATAAATATTATATATATAATTTTGACAATTAAATTTGTGGTCGTTACAAATGAGGGAAAGTAATTATCAACCATGTTCTCTCTAATTACTACATATAATGTTGATTTGAATTGAATTAAGCTTCTCGTTAAAACACTATTCTAGCGAGATTCATTTATAAATGATGCGATATATTCTGTCGCAATTTCAACATATAATTAATAAAATTATTTATTCAAAATTCTGCATAATTAATTTTACTCAAATAATCATACAAAATAGAAAAGTTATTTTTTTATATATTTAAGAGAAAATAAATTAAAATTAAATTGAAATAATTTTTATCAAATAAGTGTAAAGAAATGTTAAACTACAAATAAAGGGTTAGATTTATAAATTTATAAAGGGTTAATAATAACGAAATAAAAATAATTTCCTAATATATTAAGAAATAGGGAATTAAAAGTTTCATAATTAAAGATTTATTTTTTTGTTTTGTCAAATGAGTGCTTGAAATAAAAAAGTATTTTTTTACTAATTATATCGTTTATCGATTATATCTCGCAAAATTAATTATCCGATTTGGAAAAATTTTATATTATTGTTTAATTACTTATCGATTGACCCAATAAGTTCCAAAATCTGTTACATAAGCAAGCTATCTGTCTGATTAGAAGATATTTATATAATTAATAATGAGAGAAATTTATTTGAAGAATACAATTTTTTTTTTTTGATATTCGTTCAACTTTTAAGGAATTTTTATTTTTTATTTACTATCATTAATGTATTGTTTTCTCTTTTACTGTTTTCTTCACTGTTTCCTTCTTTACTTCACTTTACTTTTTCTTCTTTTTCTCTTTTTCTTTTCTTTCCTCTTTACTATTTATATGATAATCATTTTTAATAAACAATCTCTGCAGTTTCTGTCACCTTATTTTTGGTTATCTTTTATTTAATTCAAGGCGAGACTACTACTCAAATTTTGACCACTTTTTTAAGTTACCAATTTTATTATTTAATTCTTCACTAAGCTCACAAATATTTATCTTAGACAAACACATTCCTGATAGTATGAAGTCTCTTTTCTTCTTGTTTGTCGTCTCCCTGACCTTTAGACTCGGATTAAAAGATGATCTAATACTATACATTCAAGATAGAAAATGGAAATTCGTTTTTTAAAAATAGAAAAATTGTATTACTTTTTCAAAATTAAATTTAAAATTAAACTTAAAATTTCGTATTTTATAAACAAAGTTATATCATGATTCGTAATTATAAAACTCAAAGTCAAATAATTAAAAACAAAGTAAATATTTTCTAAAAGAAATTTAACTTAAAAATTAAGTTCAAAAAAGAAGAGAAAAGAAGAGAAGAAAAGAAAATAAGAGGCATTTGTTTATTAACAAATCTCCATTTCAGTACTTTTCCTAATTAATTTAACTTACTATCAAATTTGAGATAATCAGAAAGTTAATCAGTATGATTTAAAATCGCCAAATCCACTTGATAAGTTGATACCGCACGACGAGCAATTTGAAAAGAAATTGAGTGCTTGATAAGAAGTGATCAAGCTGATTGTTATCTTATGGGCAATAAATTGTTTTAATGCAAGTGTAATTGCACTTATAACTGACTTTTCAAAAAAAAAAAAAAAAAAGAAGAAGAAGAAGAAGAGAAACAGGACAATTCTTTGATATTTACACAAAAGTCATAAATATCCATTCATAAAAAGTGTCATTGAAAAAATTCATGATTGTGACCGCACTGTAATCGATTCTTTATCCTGAAAAGTATTCTTCATGTTCAAGTTTACACATCACCGGAAGTAGTGACAGGAAGTAGGATTATGCCACGCACTATTTTTCACGATAGTACGTCTATATAAAAAAATCGAAAATATATCACTCTGTGACAAATATCAATCTCTGTATTTTATAGTTATTGCTGAAAACTTTTTTTCTTTTTGGAAAAAATTAATGAAGGACTGCTTTTTATATGCAAAAATCTTATAATTTAATGGCGATTAATGGATAAATTATTGCGAGTTGTAAATCTTGTTTTTATTCTTTTGAATGTTAGAAATTATTTTAAATTTAATTTAGCACTTTTGTAACTGAGCTCCAGTCTTTTTTATAATGAAATTATTTTTTTCAAATTTATTATTATATAGCAAAAATTCGCGCACGGATAACTTTTTACTTGCTTTTTTAAGTAAAAATATTAATTTAAAAAAAAAAGAATTCAAAAATTTTTAATTAAAATTTTTGTTGAAAACACTAAAAAAAATTCAATTTTGGAAAAATTAGAAATAATTGCAGAAATTCAATTATTTTCCAAAAGTAATAAAATTCTTCTCATAAAATTCAATTATGTTTGAAATTTAAAAAAAAATTCTCGTCATGATTTTAATTATCTTTATAAACAGCAAAATTATTACCTAAAGTTCAATTATTTTCAAAAATGTCAATAGAATTCTAGTCCTAATTTCAATTATTTTCAAAAATTTGTCTTTTTTCAATGATTTTCAATATCTACTGGTTTAATAAATTTTTCCGAAAAGAATTCAACTATTTAGAAAAAAAAATTAATAAAATTGTTCGCAAACATTTAATTATTTTCGTAAATAATAAAAATTCCACAGAAATTCAATTATTTACAAATTTCTTATAACTTTCGTTTCTTTGCAATAATTATTTTTTTTTCATAAAGTATAAAATTTTTTTCAAAGGAATTCAATTATATTCATAAAAAAAATTAAAAATCAAATTAGAAATAATCTACCTACTGGTATTTATGTTTCGAAGCAGAAAACTCACATGACTTGATAAGTGCTGATAGATTATGGATTTGACAGCTATTACCGGCTATTAACCCCATAGAATATTGTAGTATCGAAAAACAGATAAACTACAGCTGATGAATAGATAAGAACTGTTGACATGCCTAATGCACCTTTTTGAATTTTATAGATTCGATTCTTATAGGTATATATTGGCTGGTTATTTGGTTTTCGAGCCATAGATAAAAAAGCCCCTTTTTAACAAACTTTGGGCTCCACCG